ATGTAAGTTCTCTCTCAACTCTAACCATCCTTACTGATAGTATTTTACTTACTACCGGTCACCATTCTTAACTCTTTCAGCTGAAGTATTCCTCTTACCACTATTCACAATCAACTATAATATTTGGTTATTCTCAACTAATAGTATTTCTCCTACTATTAGCCATAACTTTAAGCTACGATTTCTTACTCCTCTTAACTGATCAGTTGATTCTCTTTAAAGGTATAACTCAAACTTTTATTTTGAAAGGACTCAATACAATATTTCTTTTATAATGCTCAGAATATTTACATCATATATCAATCAAATAAACTCTCAAGTCTTAATTCAACTTTGTATTATATGATAATCGAATAACTCTCGAATCTTAATAATGATACCAATCCTTTGATGATATCATATTCTGATCAATTAACTCACACAAGTTTTACCTCATTTCTCTTTATACTCAACTAAAAGCTCGTATGTTTCCTGTATCCATAGCTTTCTCTTCAATCTTATTTTCTCATGTCACATTATTCTTTCTGTTTATTAATCTAGTTGTTTCATACACACTATATTCTACTTACTCTTTTTCAAACATTTCTTATGTCTCCTCTAAGTTTAAACAACTCACATATTTTTCTTATGTTTAGACACCTCTTGTGTCTTAATTTACTATTCCTTTTATCTAACTCTTTGGTAGTAATCGACTTTAATTGCTAGTGAAAATGGTCCCAAAAATTACAAATCGATACTTCTCTCTTAGTGCTTCATCACGTCGTGACTTCTAATTTAATATATCTTCTCATTCAATAACTCTAACTCTAACTCAAATATATCCATTTCTTCTTTTGGTAGCTTTAACTCTAGCAGCCAAATTTTCTTATCTTACCTCCACTTAAACACGTTTAATTTATGTTTCTCAACCCTATTAAACCCCATAAATTTATTATTTATACTAATAATAAACAAGGTATCTCACATACAGTTCGAATATATTGTAGTTACACAACACCTAGGAATTTTTGAAATGATAAGTCATTTCACTTACTTATACATACCAAACGTGTTGTAAGCCAACTCTATTTACGCCACGATATATCAAAGTGCATCGCTACTTTTAACTTTACTATTACAGTTATACTCCTTACAATTTAAATCTCGTTATTCAAACAATTTCAAATGTGTATAACATATTCTCACTAATGCAAGTTTTTAAAAGATATTGAAAATTACTCACACATTCACGTAAATGAGTATATCACAGTTATAGTCAAATAAATGACTCAATGTCTCTACCACATAAAGTTCACGTATTATAGGCAACAACTCTATGATGCCAAAAACTCATTTATAATGATAATAGCTTAGCGGCTACTCAAGACATGATTTTAGTTAACATTTCTCAAAAATGGATTTACATCCACTCCAACTACCTTTACAATTGTCACAAGATACTCATTATGTGACCTCGATTCTCTCATTACTCAATATCACAAGAAACTCAACATGTGATATATTTTATATAATAACTCTACACCACTACATATATTCTTAACTCTCTATTATCAATATATACAAGAGTTATGGTCAACTCTTTACACTATATAGCTACAATATAGTTATATCACACTTGTTCAAAATATTTTTGCCACAAGATACTCATTATGTGGTTTACCATACTCATCCTCTCTACTCATTAGATATTGTCACAGAAAGCCCGTACTGTGATTCGCCTTACTCTATTATAGTAATAACTAAAACTCTTAATCTTATTACTCCACTCTCACATTCACAATATCAATCAAACAAATTTAAGGTATAAACACCACAACATTAACTTATACTCCTCTTTTTCTACTATTTGGTTTAAGTTTAGGAATCTAACACTAGATACCTAATTTACTCAATCCATAGCTCTGATACTAACTTTTAACACAAGGTACACTCAAATTTTTTTGAATTATTATTTATAAAAACACATTGGTGTAAACCTACATTAATAATCCAATACAATTAGTTATCATCAGGATCGAGTTAAAAGAATTTTAAAATACAATGATCTGATCCGGGTATCACAATCTCTCTTCTTCAATTCTCTACTTCTTAAATAAATTTACATGCAAAACACACATCATAAAAGGATAAGCTACAAATAGCTTAGCGAGTAATCCTTAACAATGATACACATAATAATCACGATATAAGAATACACCACTCATCGGTGTATAGTTTTTCAAGACTCATTTATCAACTAAAGATTCACAATCCAACTATTTGCTCCAATAACAATAGTAATGGATTTACAGTTACTCAAGCTGCCATTAGACTCTTACAAGATACTCATTCTCGTTCTCATTCTTCACCTTCTCTATACACTTATTCTCATTTTCTCTTTCTACTCTTTCTCTCTATATTCACATTCTATTTCCCTTTTATTCTCTTATTCTCTCTATTATTTTTTCTACACTCATTTTGCTTCTTTCCCTCTAATCTCTCTATCTAAATCTCTATACCCATACTCTATCTGTCTCTATATCTCTGTCTCTACCTCCTATTGTATCTTTAATTCTCTTTCTCTCTCACTCTACATATCTTTATCTTCATCTCTTCATATATCTCTATCTCTATCTCTCCCTTACTATATCTCCATTCTATCTAAATCTCTCCGCATTTCTATCTCTTTTTATATGTCTATTTCTCTCTCTCTCTCTCTATCTATCTATCTATCTCTATCTATCTATCTCCATATCTCTTTCCCTCTCTGTATATCTATCTACATCTCTCTTTTTATCCCTGCATCTCTATCTCTACCCCTTCTCATTCTCTACATCTTTATCTACATCTCTCTTTCCATCTCTGCATCTTTATATCCATCCTTCTCTCTTTCTCCGCATCTCTATCTCCATCTCTCTTTCTATCTCTCTATATCTCTATCTCCATCCATCTCTCCTTCTATGCATCTTTATCTACATCCCTCTTTCTAGCTCTACATCTCTATCTCCATCCCTCTCTTCTTCTCTGTATCTCTATCTTACAACTATACTAACTCATTAACTTGTATACCAATACTCGACTATTTTTCTCATTAATTTTTGATACTTAAATCCTATAGCAATATACAACTACATGTCTCAATCATAGTAGTTTATTAATGCATCTTTTAATACTCTATTTTATATTTCAAAATGTACTCATTATGAATGTTATACTTCGTTATGTATCTCAATCGTACTCAATAGTATACTCAAATAGTAATAACATACTATAACTCCGAATACGAACAATAATTATCACATATCTATATGAAATTAATATGGAGAGAGGTAAGGTCACTCACCTGCTAGTTAGTGAAGACTAACTGTTATTATGCCCATATGGTTTATACCCAATAGTAGCCATTGATTGTGCAAAATCCATGGTATGGAGTATTGGTTTGGTCCCTTAGTTGTTCCAACTGTTATGAACACTTAGACATGTTCTCAGAGGGTTTGAATCATCCAAAAAGAGGTGTTCGTCGAACTTGGATCATACATGGAAAGGCAGAAGGTATGAAAAGGGAAGTTGCAACTATCGCTATAGCACAATACACTCTTCTATAACTGTGACGTGGTGAAGAGTTTTCGTCGTTGACCAGAAACACGACCTTTGACTAAGCATGGCATGTCCCCTTATATGCACGATGCTTGAATATCTTCTACATCGCCCATCGTCTCTTTGATTATCTTCTACATCGCCCGTCATTGCTTGAATATATAATCAGACATTTAGCTGGTAGTGTTACACCATGATAGAAGTCGAGATGATCTAGGATGACTTCTAGAAATACGTTAAGATCGGAAAAACAATACCAATCTTCCTCTTCATAATTCTAAATACCATATTTATACATTGTTATAACTAGCTTATATGAAAGAAAATGAACAACTTATAGTCTTTTATTGAAGAACATTCACAAGATTTTAATGTTTTCACGACTATCATTCACTAGTGTACAATTGAGGTCGTTGGCAAAATAACGGTGTACGAATGGCTCACCAAGGCGCAAAGCCATTCACAATCGGTACAATGGTTTTAGTAGTTAAATTTAAAAAAATATAACAATAAAAATTATGATTCGATTTAAAAACACATGATTAGGGTTTTAGATACAATGCATGTGTTGCTAACTTGCAACCATGATTCACATGCTTTGTGGTCATTTTTGGATAATTGAGAAAATATGGTCTTTTAGAGGAGGATAAAATGTTCGCTAAATATGATTTATTTTAATAACTCTTTTTAAAAAAGTTGTAACTCTTTAAACAGGGATCATATTATCCCTTTTATAATAAAATAGTTCGTTTGATTGACACATGGCACATTTTTATGCATAATTATGCCACATGTTTTTTTAATATATTTTTATTTCATTTGATATAAATCCTAATTTTTAAAGATTTTATAACTGAATGTCATATTTTTTCCATGTATTCTTCATAAAACGTATTATTTTCTTACTATTTTTGTAATGCTTTTAAATCCACTTGATATAAACCCCCTGAATTTAAGGAGTTTAATATTGAATAATAATTTACTCTTGGTATTCTTCATATAATGATTTAAACATATTCAAAGTAAGGGTTATGTCACTGTAGCCCAACTATCTTTCATATTTTTGTTTAAATGGTCCTCATGACTATTTTTTTGCGTTTGAAGGGCATGAAGTTGTATTTTACCGGTCACTTTGGTACTTTTACCTACATTTGAAGGTAAGACTACTGTGTCGAGTGCCAAGTAAGCGAATGAGTCAACATTGAGTCATTGAAGAGTCGACTCGGCTTCCACTTAAAATGGTAGTTAATGCAGGCATTTAGTTCTACCAACCCACCAACCACCCATTGAGGCCAAGGCAGTGTCGATGGTGGGGGCATAAAGCACCAGCTCAAACCCATGTGGGGTTTAACCTAGAAAATTCAACAAACTTTTTTACCTTATTTAGGCGAACACGACTCCGACCAAAACCCTAAATACTTGCAATGTATGATCCACCACCTTCTTCACTAGAATCGATAAATTCCCGAGAGTTTCTCAACCTCAGCGACCTACATTCCATAGTGTGCGACTGCGGAGACAAGATTATTGTGAATCATAGCGAGATGAATATGATCAAAGAGCGGCTAGGTCAAGATTTTCTTGTGTTTCTTGTGGATCACATCAGTATCCACCACAAGCTGGAAGATCATGACAGGAAGCTTAAAGCTATTGTTGTGGTGATAGGCGGCGTGAAGGTGGCCATGCTCGGGATGATGGTGGTTGGGCTCAAAGTCGTTATGAAGCTTGGATAAGTTGTTGGGGGTAGATTACGAAGCATATATATATATATATATATATATATATATATAATATATATATATATATATTATATATATATATTAGTTGTACTTTTTATGTTCTTGGTTTTTTTTCTTTTTATTGGTGCTACGTATGGATGATGTGAAAATGCATGTGTTGATAACAGGCATTTTCTAACTAGTGTTCAACTTGCTAATGGAAAAAGACTTGAGTTGATCTGAGGCGATATGCATCTAATATTTTAGTTTTTGATCTGTTAAGATTTGCATTGACCTATCATGCAAGAACAAAGAAGCAACTCACATGTTGGGTTAGTGAACCCCACGTGCCTTGCATCGCGTTCATAAAGTTTGTAAAAAAGGGTGTGTTAGTGAAAAAGGGTATCTATTTCATTTGATTTCTCCTTCAAATAACTTTCGACTTAGATCCAAGAAAAACCGAGAAGATTATAAGTGTACTGATGAGGTCGAAGAAGAAGCTGGAATCAGAAGTCTTGAAGTTGAAGTTGATCTTACTTTGTAGTTGGGTTTTTTTAGGTTTAATCATCTATAAGTTGTAATCAAATGTATTTGGGTTGATGAAGTAAGAACAATTTGTAGTTGAATTTGGGTTTTAAGTATGGACTTGTATTATTACCCTTAATGTGATGTTGTTATGTCATTACCCTTAATGTGGTTAAATTATGGTACCCTTTGTCATTACCATATGTCATCATCCTTAATGTCATTACCCTTCATGTTTGAATTACTTATAATGCAATGCTATATAGCAAATTCAAATATTTAACAATTATTGTACATGTGTCCATTGAGAATACAAGGACCACATGTTCCTTTAAAGCACTAGGACCACACGTTACCTTAAATGGTATAATTACGTGCATCATACCCGTTCACATCATATTTTATTAAACAGCCAAACCATGAGATATATTATTAAACATCCAAATCATGAAAATAGTTTCTAAAACATACAACTAACTTCTACCAACCAAACTATTGTCAAACCAAACTAGTACAAAACAAAGCTAACAAGTACATTAAATTAGAAATCCAAAGATAACATGACACCATCAAAGACTTCCTAGTCATTAAGGTCTAGTGGGTTTGCACTAGTTTCTTCTTTCCCATCCTTTCCCTTAACCTTCTTTGCAAGTTTCTCCTCTTTTATCTCCTTCATCAATTGCCTTTGATCCACGACTTCCTTCACAATGCTCACCCTTGGCCTTTGTACATGTGGCCTTTCCACTTGAGGACAAGTAACCTAGTTATGCCCTACTTGTTTACACACACTGCACATTATTTTTTCCATGCCTTAGACACAATGTTTCTTGGAAGATTTTCTGATGCATCTCTTCTTCTGTTACCTTTGGTATACCTGGCATTCTTCTCTTCAATGGTGGAAGAGGTGGTATGAACTCAATAGGCGGCCACATGTTGCTACCATTCATCCCATACATTTGGTAATTGTAAGTGTTCTTGTAAAAGGCATCATAGAACATTGGATCCACATAAGTGCCAACATTTCCATTCAGATATGAGATAGTAGCAACTGAATGCATACATACCCATTGAGTTGCCACACTCTACAACTACAAGTCTTCTTGTCCAAGTCAACAACATAGGACTCTGCCAGGTTTCTTCGTTCAAATTGGTTTAGACCACTTGGTAAAACCTGCCAAAACCTATTTGAGACAAAACATAAGTTAGTATCTAATTACAAGTAGGAGTGTAAAGATTAGAAAGTACCTTTGACATGGTGATGATTGGATTTTTCCTTGCATCCCTGATGACACTGTTAAAGCTCTCAGATAATCCATTCTCCACTGCATCACATATCATTCGTTCTTGAAATAATGCTCTACTCCATGATTTGAGGTTTGTTTCTATAAGGTATGCAAAGGCTACAGGGTTTAAGCAGTTCAACCTCCTTCATGGAAGCATTGAATAAAGGCTCAGTGGATGCCTTGCTTGCCTTCCAAAACATGGTCTCATAGTACAAACCAGTGAATCTTTTGCTAAAGTTGGCAACAATATGCCTTGCACACTGCCTATGTTCAGTAGTAGGCAATACTTCTTTGACAGCCTCTAACAGCCCCTATCAAACAATGTTAATATGTTAGAGAAAATGAAACCTAAAGGTAAAATATATAAAAGTTGAAAGTATTGGACAAACCTTATGCTGATCCGACATCAATGTTATACCAAAACCATCATCCTCATGTAAATGATCATATCAATCTTCACGAGGTGCACTGTGGGGGGTGACTTGATCCTTTGGAAATCCTCCATATCACCTTGAAAATTATCCATGTCAATTCCACCATCCATATCCATACCACCTTGCACTTCTTCATGAACTTCATTTACACCAGACAATTCTTCTAAAGAACTGCAAACTTCAACTTGCTCTTCAAGAATCCATTGATGTACATTAACACCAAGATGGTCCATGTATACAGAAATTACACAATCAGAAGCATACCCTACTTCGATTAATTCCATGTAGTCCATGTCAGTAGTGATTATCCTTAATCCATCAGGAACTCAATATCGGACATGCAAAAGTAAACATTCACACATCTCTCATTCGCGAATTTTTAAAGGAACTCCACAAATTCGTTCTTGTCCATTCCAGCAAAATCAACATCATCAAATCTTTTCTCCACTCCATCTGATTAATTAATAGTGGGGTACCTCGTAAAAATTTCAGGAAAATAGAGATCTATCTTCATGTAAACAACCATAGCAATGATTAACTTGGTTGATATGACCGATGAACAATTTAAGAAAAGGATTCGTTCCAAGAATAGTTGAAGAAAAGGATACGCGTGAAAAGGTAGCAGACGAAAGAGCATGAAAGAGACGGTTGATGGGGGTTTAAACGTTTATTGGGTCACTTTTACTCACACTCATGTGGCAATGACCTGACATTTTTAATCTACATGACAATTATGTGGCATTGGCAAAGAGATTAGTAGGATGGGTGTCACCGGGTGACCCCTTCAAATTTTTTAAAAGGACCTTTTAAACCATAAAATTACAAGTATAAGCCTTTTAAATGCAAAATAGTCACGATGGACCATTTAAACAAAAATATGAAAGATAGTTGGGTTACAGTGACAATAACCCTTCGAAGTAATATTCAAAATCAAATAATTTAATATATAAATCCCTATACACAAAAAATTATTTTCATACTTATAATTATATATAACATTTTTTCTTATTGTTGAATTTTTTTTATATCTTACCCGTGTAATGCACGAGTTTGTAACCTAGTCTCTATAATAAAATGATATGTTGATTTAGATGCAAATAATACACGAGTTTGTAACCTAGCATGCATCCCTATTTATACTTGAGGGATCAGACCTAAAACCCTAATGGGCCAAGCCGATTGGCCCATAGGCCCATGAAGGCTGTCAACCAATCACAATTCGCCATGCAGCATCTTCTGGAACATTCTTGAGCATTATCATTTTTCTAGGCATACTTGGATCAACATGGCACAGCAAAAGAATCAATATGGCGCATCATGTACCAAGATGGTCCATGATGGCACAATAGCTTCTTCATGGCGCAACAGCAACCCTAGTTGGCGCAATAGGGATCTAAATGGCACAAGAGCATCAAGTATGGCGCACAACATAAATATTGGAGCAACAACATCACAATGAGCAACAAGCACATGCATGGCTCAACAAGGCCATGCATGGCTCAACAAGAAAACAAGATGACGCAAGAGGAGAACAAGATGGCGCAAGAGCATCCCTCTTGACCCATCTCTTCATCATGTTGCGCAACAAGGACCCCTTGTTGCTCCATATCCCTTCCAAGTGCTTCAAACTCCTTCCAGGTGCTCCAAACCCCCTTGTACATGATCTGTTCCTTGGCACTTGATCAGTTCCTTTGTCTGATGATCCATTCCTCTCTTAGAAGATCCGTTCCTTTGTCACGTGCTCCATGAACCCCAAATGTTCCATTGAGGTCCAAGTGCTCCAAATGTTTCATGAACATGATCCAAATGCTCGAGTCACATTTAACAATTCTTTATGAAGTTTTGGTCCCTTTTTGGTCATATGATGAGATCTAGTGGATTCCTTCCACTCCAGAAGTTAGGAGTTGCTTCTCTTGATGTTTCTGAGGTCCTTAGTACATAAAGTTAGCATCTTGATGGTTGTGGATCAACCATGCATGTTTTTAGGTCATTATGGTGAAAGTAGAATGCTAAAAGTAAGGTTTAGGTCCTTTTGAGCCATGCAAAGGCTCCAAGTTCATGACTTTATGGATTAAGATGTTTAATAAGACTTGGATCTGAAGTTTGGGCTTTTGGTTGCAAGTATTGAGCACTTAATGGGAAAAGTACTTAATAGGCACGTACGTTGGGCGTACGTATGTGTACGTTGCACGTACGCTGCCCGGTCCCCGATCATGCACGTTTAGTAGTATGCTGGGCATACCCAACTCGTACACAACGCGTACTAGGGATTTTTGAAGTACACAGGGCATACTCAGCTGCCGTTGACTTCTATTGACTTTCTCGGTTTGGGCCACATTTGGACTAGAGGAGTTTTGGGCCTTATTAGGTCATTAGCCTTCTGACTTTGGGCCATTTCTAGGCTTTGGGCCTCCTTGGATTTAGGCCCATGATGGGTTTTGGGCTCATTTAGGAAGTTGGGTCATATTGGGCTTTTTAGTACTATTGGATTGGGCCTCGGATTTTAGGGCAAGTGAGGAAAGGGTAAAAGGGACTTTTACCCTGAGTATTGGGCGATCGGACTAGGATCCTAGCTATGGGTTGCGGACCAATTATTTATTGGGTATTATTTGATGATGTTAGCGTGGGGATTTTCTGGATCAGCAGTCCGAGCTTTTATCTGAGATATTCAGCAGTTTGAGGTGAGTTTCCTCACTATGCTTGGCGGGTCGAAGGCATCAATGTCGACCCATGATTTATTAGGGTTAGGATGCTAGTTGTTTGCGTGACTCCTACATGTTTGTTATGTGATATGTATCCCGGGCGGGGTCCGATGCCAGGCGGGGCCTGATGAGTGTATTGTATTCTATTTATCTTTATGATTCTTGCATGTGTTTTATGTGTCTGTATGAATGTCGGGTAGGGTCCGATGTCGAGCGCAGCCTGATGAATGTGATGAGGCGGGGCCTATCCCATGCTATTGACAGATCTGTTTCAAGCAAGGCTCGATGTCGGGCGGGGCCCGATGGGTGTGGGGCATGGCCCATTGTATGTTGATATGTATGGTATGTGGTGTTTTGGGGTACTCACTAAGCTCCGTGCTTACAGTTTTCAGTTTAGGTTTCAGGTACTCCCGGATCAAAAGGGAAAAGCTCGTGGTGATCGCATTGCACACACACCATGATTTCCGCTTTATAAGCTCTGATGTATTGGATTGGTTGATTGGCATATTTTGATTTTCTTGTATGGATTTATAATCATGTTTTGGTATTGATGGTTTTATTATAATTAAAATGAAATTTTTTTGTCTTAATTTTTGGGACGTTTCAAGATGGTGGTGATCGATTCATGGTGTCGGAGGTTAGATGGTGTATCGATGATTCCTTGTTTCCGGATGGTAACATTCATACTAGGTGGAATAAGTAGCTCCCGCAAAAAGTGAATGTTTTCTGTTGGCAAGTTCGTTTAAACCAACTTCCTACTTGTGTTAAGCTGAATGTGAAAGGTATTGTTCCATGGTGTACGTTGTTTGTTCCTTGGATATGGAAGAATTGTTCATCTTCTTATTTTTTGTATGTCGATTTGTGGCGTTTCATTGGTAGTTGGTGTTATATTATATCATATCCGGGTTTTTGGAGATAGAAGACGTGGTTCATTGTAGACTCTATCCATAGGTCTATTGTTAAGTGTATGGCATTGGAGTCTATAGTCATGATCATGTGGTGGCTTCTTTGAAACTTCCGTAACAAAATGATATTTAGCGATCATAAAGTTAGAAGAAATTGTCGATTGATAGGTTGATTGACTATTCATATAATTAATTTGTTTTGCGGAATAGAAAGTTTAGTGTCAGCCGAGTCTCATGGTTATGAAACCCTATCTTGGCTATTTTTTAATTTTATGTTAGCCCTTTGCTAACCTTTTATAATAAAAAAATTCGTTGTTCGGAGAAAAATACGATAAATAGATTTTATAAATGCAACCTATTACTTTTGTTCCAATAAGCAATATTTTTTTTCAATCGCTACTTGAAATGGTTTTTCGATTACAATTTTTTTTAAAAACTAAAAACCCGATGTTTCTAAAAGTTTGTACTTAACACTAATGTCAACAATTGAATTAAGTCACTCTCAAGTCCCAACCACTGAATTAAGTCAATTAACTATCGAATAAAATCATTGTGTTATATCATTTTGATGATTTTATGTAACAGATCAATCAAATATATCATAATCGACAAATTGTGCCTAAATAATTTGAAAACGATATATAGACACTTGCATAATGGCGGGCCCTACCTCTTTTAATATTTTGTACTAAATATAAAGAGTGGCGTCAATTGTTAATTTATTATTTTCTTTCATTTTCCACTTGAATGCTCTCAATTTTCTTTCGTGTCCTTAAAGTTGGGTAACAATATATGAACAACATGATGGTACTATGGGGCCAATTTTAGAGGAGAGTAAATGTAACGTCTTTTAAACACTTTCTAAATATTTTAATAAAATCTGTAAGTAAAATCCAAGTTTTTTTTTTTTTTTTGGTTTCGATTAACTCAGGCTGATGTTTTAACCCGACTCCAACTCAACCCATATTCATGCATAAGCATTTTAGGAGGATTTTAGAATGATATAATATTACTTCACATGTTATTGATTTAAGATATTTCCCTTTAAAAATTCAGGATACGGACAAAGATATGCATTGACTATATACTTCAAAAATCAAGGTCTCAAAAATCCTCTCTAATAAATGGAGATTTTTTTTGCCATTTGTCATAATATCATTCAATTTGTCAAATTTCATTTTGTAGTGATTTTGAATTAACTTTTTTTTCACATGTCATTTTATTAATTTTTCTATTTTATTAAATTTCATATAATATTTTAATGTACTGATTGCAATAAATATAATAATAAATGGATATCAATTCATTAATGAAGTTATCTTTTAATTTCAAATTTATCAAAATTAAAGATCATTAGTTTCTTTTATTTATTTAAATTATTTGTTTAAATTTAAAAGATAAAAACCATTTATATTATAATAATTCATTATTTTTCTTATTTTCTTATTAATTCAAAGTTCTCAAATATTTTTATCTTTATAATCATTTTTTTTTAAATTAACCCATGTAATACATGGGTCTCACAACTAGTCCAATAATATACCATTTATATTTCAAGATTGTGGAAATGCATTTTTGTTTACTATAAAAACTAAAAGTTACCACACCGTTTATATCACATAGTAATAAAAATAAAAAACAAAAACCTTAAGAAAATTCTCATTCAATACACTGAATAAATAATAATGTTAGATATGTTTTTACTTAATAAATTACATTTTTAAATATGTTTGACAAAGAGTTTTTAAGAAAGTTTAAGTTTTAGCTCTTTAAAAAAACTTAAATTAAATAAAAACTTTTATTTTCGATTACAAGACTTATCGTAAACAAAAAACTTTTAATTAACTACGAAGTTACTTTAAATTACTTTTTTATGAGATTTTAACTTTTATTTTTTATATATTTTATGTCAAATATACCTTTTAAAAAACCTACAATTAATTTTCAAGAATACTTTTATTCAAATAAAAACGACATTTTTAGCTTACAATAACCATCAACCCACTATTAGCTATCTGCTAACATGCTCCAACCAGATTTGGCAAACATTAATTTTATATTTATCCTCTATTGCAAACAAAACTTTTATCTAAAGAACTATTTTCATTCAAATACTATTGGTTTATAAAGTTTAACTAACGACTTTTATTAATGAAAGACTTATTAAATGGATATATGTCTTATTGACGGATTGATTCTTAGAACTCTACCTTTGTCCAAGTAAATATTTCCAAATTAAGGATGGGGGCAACTTGGAATTTTGCTCAATTTCATATTGTTAATGAACAGTGACAGCCTGTCTCTTAATTGCTCTCCTAGGCATCAAAAACAAACCAAATACCCATTTTGCCCTTTGAAAATTTGATCATATATCTATCTAGGGTATGGAGGCAGCGCCATTCTTGAATGTCTCAGAAACCCCCAAATTACCATGTTGAAGAATCTTTGAGTGGGATTGATGTGATGTAAAATTAAAATGTTAGAATAATAATAGTATATGATAAGTTATCTAAATGTATAAACAAGTCCAAAATAGTGTAATTTAACTATGCAAACATCAAAAAAATAACAATCAAAACAAATATAAAAATACGTAAATATCCTTTAACATACTATTATTTTTTTAGAAAATTACACGTGTAACTATTCTTTTAAGTTTATTTTTTCAATAATTAATCAAAAAAATAAAGATTTTCCTGTAAAAAAACAACATCGTTTTGGCATTTCGTAAATACTCCACGGCATACACATGGTTATTTGTGGGAAAATGTTTATTTTTGGGCTAATTTAAAAAAGTTAAAAATAATAATTATATTTGTCATTTGCTATTTGCTATTATTATCTAATTAAATGATCATTGTTCTTGAATTCACACATTTCATGACATTCATGACTAAAATATGCACCGACTGGAAGGTTTAGCACGTGGACTGTAGAGCAACCTGGATTTAGTGCTACTGTACTATACTCTATGCATTATGTACAAGTTCAAATGCATCATTCATCAAGGTTAATTTGAAAATCCTTGTTGCGATCTTCATTTACGCATTAATGCGTATATATCTATATCTATGTATGGAAGAAAGAAAAAGTCCTAAAAAGCACACCTCTTTAATTTCTTGATCTCTGTCTTCTTCAATGGCAGCAAAACCCCATGTGGACAGCACTAAATGCATTGGAACTTCCAATTTCTGAAAATTTCTCTCACATACTGACATTAAATTTCAACTACCCACATCAGATTTCATCCTTTTTCTTCTTTCGATTCCTCCAAATTCATTTAAAAAACCAAATCTTGATTTCAAATAAAAACAGGGGAGAACATTTGTCTGTTCTCTTTCTTTAAAATACTCCATTCTTGACTTCTACTTCCTAAAGATTCTGTTTATCTTGTTGGGTTACTATCAAGAAACTCAAACAAAAAAACAGAGCATTTTAATGGCGATTTGCAGGTTTTATTTCCTTCTGTTCGTGACACTTTCATGGAGTTTCTTCTTCGCAAATGCAATCCAACCTTCACAAAAACAAGTCCTCCTGCAACTACGAAAACAACTGGAGTACCCGAAGCAATTGGATATTTGGCTCGACACAAATAATGATTTCTGCTACGTGTCATCACCACAAGTCAATGTCACATGCGAAAACAACTTTGTTTCAGAGGTAAAAATCATGGGATTTGCTTCCGATCAAACGCCAAAGAAGGTAAATTCCGGTTCTTTTCATGGGTTTCCGATTCCTTCACAAACACTATCTCAAAACTTCTCAATCGACTCTTTGATTGCCACTTTATCAAGATTAACAAGCTTGAAAGTTCTTAGTTTGGTTTCTTTAGGAATCTGGGGCCCACTTCCTAACAAAATCCAACGATTAAACACACTCGAATACATTGATTTGAGTTATAATTTCTTGTATGGCTCAATTCCTCCAACTCTTTCAAGAATGGTGAGTCTTCAAAGTGTGAATCTTGATGGGAATTTCTTGAATGGTAGTTTTCCGAAAGGCGTTGACTTGTTATCAAGTTTGACCAGTTTAAGCTTGAGCGAAAATGGGTTTTCTGGTGATTTACCAGATCTACAAGATTTGCCAAACAGTTTGATCATTTTGTATCTGAATAACAACTCGTTTTCTGGTCAAATCCCAGTCAAATACAGTCAACTCAACCACCTTCAAGAACTCGATCTTTCATTCAATTCACTCTCTGGTGTCCCCCCGTTTTCTCTATTCTCATCGTCATCCATTACTTACTTAAATCTAACATCAAATAAGTTGTCCGGTTCACTTCCGGTTCACTTACAATGTGGAAACAAACTCGCAAGCGTCGACATTTCACAAAACCGATTTACAGGCTCATTGCCGTTATGTTTAACCAACGAATCCAACAATAAAACCGTTAAATATGACGGGAATTGCCTCATGATTGATGTGACACGTCAGCATCCAGCAACCTATTGTGTAGAAGAAGCTCGAGGGGTAGAAGTGGAAACCAAAGATTTCAAAGATTCACCACATAGAAGGAATCCAGTAATAATTATTGGAGTGATTTTAGGGAGTATTGTGTTTCTGGTGCTTTTGGTATTAGGGTTTGTGGTTCTTTCTAAGAAGCTTTGTGCTCGAGGCGTATCTGAACAGAAATTGCTGCATAAATCGGTCCAAGATTACTCTGTTACTGGCTACCCATCCGAACTTTTAACCAGTGCAAGTAAGGCTGCTTCTGTTTTACTTAATGAACTTAATGGATACAAACTGTATATGTATATAGGTGTTTTTTTTACTTAATGCATAATACAAAATGTTTCTTTTAAAACTTAATGCATACAAAATGTTTTTTTTACACTTAATGCATTGAGAATGTCTAAATGAGTATTAAGTGAGGGAAGGAATCTGTAAACATGTCAAAATTGATTTTTGGGAACACGAAAATTACCAAAATGCCATTGTTCAACAAACGAAGTGGACTTTTTGACCCTTTAAACCAAATGACATCATTTGCATTTTGCAAATCTCAGATTATTTTTTTTATAAATGGTCCCCACCACTCATATTTTAGGAAAATGATGTTATTTGGAAAAGATTTTCTTTTAAAGTTTTTTGCGGCCTTTTGTGAGTAAAGGTAACGGCAATTAATGTCGTTGCAAAATTGATTGTAAGTTTATGTAAAGGGACAAAAGGTGGCCACTTCATTAAATGTGTTCATTTTTGTGATTTTCGATGAGATTTCATTTAAAAGTTAAAAACACCTTCAAAAAAGAGTTTTTGAAAAATTAGACCTATGTGATTTTTGGAAAAGTCATAAGTCAATAAATTGTTTTTATTTTATTTTATATTTATAAGCTAGCCAAATATTTTTTAACTTATTGACTTATTGACTTTTCCACCACAAAAACTAATCCAAACATTTTTTTAAAAACTCCTTTTGAAAAAGTCATAAGTTAATAAGTTATTTTGTCAAAAGTAGAGTTCAAAAAACAATGCCAAACACCCATAATCATGAATTGAATTTTGATTCGTTTATTTTGTTAATTAGGATTGGTTTCAGAGACTGCAAAGTTGGGTACAGAAGGAATCCCAGTTCACAGATTGTTTTCTTTTGAAGAGTTAAAGGAAGCTACTAACAACTTTCATAGATCTACCTTAATAGGGGAAGGTTCAACGGGCAAGGTACAAACCTTAAAGCACAATGTATGCATTCTCGACACATTTAATATCACTTATTATACATATATACTTTTATCCAGATCTATAAAGGGAAGCTTGAAAATGGGACAGACATTGCAATAAGACATTTGACAGTGTCTAAAAAGTACACAATTAGAAACCTTAAATTAAGGTTGGATTTGCTTGCGAGGCTTCGTCACCCTCATTTGGTTTGCCTTTTGGGGCATTGTATTAGTGGTGAAGAGCAAGATAATGGTGAATCAAATAAAGTGTATCTTGTGTATGAATATGTTCATAATGGGAATTATCGTTCACTTCTTTCTGGCAAGTTTTTTTTTTTTTTTTTTTTTTTTTTTTTTTTTTTTTTTGTATATAAATTGTGAAATTGGTTATTCCTTTTTATACCATTATGATTGGCTCTAATGGGTCATAATGCTATAAAGAGGACAAACTTAAATAAAGAGGACAATTTTATTTTTATTTTTTTGAGTTTAGGGGACCCTATTTGAACAAAAAAAAAAGTTAGTGAAGTTTTAGTGTTTTATGCAGGGAATGGTAGAGAGAATGTTGTTCTTAAATGGGGAGATAGATTGAGGATTTTAACTGGTGTGGCTAAAGCTGTGCATTTTCTTCACACTGGACTCATTCCTGGTTTTTTTAGTAATCGATTGAAAGCAAATAATATTTTGTTGAATGAAGATGGGATGGGAAAACTGAGTGACTATGGGCTTTCGATTATAGCAGAAGATATTAAACAAGATGTATGAGAAAATAAATATTTTATCATTATTACCTTTAACTTGAGCATTTAACTGCAAGATCTGACTTTTTTTTAATGTTTGTTGTTTTGTAGGCGAATGGAGAAGGTGTTGAATCATGGTAAGGGATTTTTTTGGAAAAAAAAAATGTTAATTTTTTGTCTTTCTTCTGGATTTTAAGAGAGAATGTGTGTTTATTTTTGTAGGCAAATGAAGAACTTAGAGGATGATGTCTACAGCTTTGGATTCATTCTACTTGAGTCCCTTGTTGGGCCTTCTGCTGCATCTAGAAAAGATGAATTTTTGATGAATGAGATGGTATTTTCTTCGAACTGAACTTTCTTAATTCTACCAAATTATGTTTTTTCATTTATTTGTTTATTGTAGCATCCTACTTCCATTTCTTCGTATTACTTTATAAAATTCTACCAAATTATAGCAATGTCATCCATATACAGAGCAATTTCCATCACTATAATTGAGTAGATTTTTCAAAGTATAATGTCTTAATAAGATAAACAATATAAAATCTACGCAATTATAGCAATGTCATCTATATACAATGCACCACATCTTACACCATGTTGTTATGTAGAAATAAATGAAAGTAGGTTGCTATTTATCGTTGTTAAACCTAGAGCCATTTTGATATTTTTTACAGGCTTCTTTTGGAAGTGAAGAGGAACGGAAGAAAGTAGTGGACCCTGTTGTACTTGATTCCTGCTCACAAGAATCACTTTCGGTTATAATCTCCATAACCAGAAAATGTTTTTGTGCTGACTCATGGGCAAGACCCTCTTTTGAAGACGTGCTTTGGCACTTGCAATATGCTGCTCAAATTCAAGCTGGGACCCAACAATCTGCTGAAAAAGTTTTATTCATGGGCTGTTGATATTTGCCTTGTAGTAATTGTATATAAAATAAGCTATCACCTACCTATTAGAGACCTTTATTCCAGTATTACTCTTTCTTTTTGATGTATTAAATAATTTAGACTTTTATGAATGTAATTGTATATATTCAGTTTATCCTGTATCTTGATGGGACTTGGTGTTGTTTCTTTTTGACTTAATATACAGCGATGAGCATAACGGATTAAGTAAGAGGAGTGTTTTTTTATCCATTAAGACCTTATTAATTTACGTTGTTATCCTTAACAAAACACTTTTTTTTTTTTAATTCTTAATATCTATTCAAACTCACTCATTTTCTTCCTTAAAATTTTTTATTATATGCCATGTTAACATTTAAGTTTTTTTTTTTCTAATTGTTTTATCATGGACATTTACAATTTCAATTTGTAGCGATTTTCAAATAAACAATCAATTATTATTCAGCATCACCTCTAGATAAAAGGGTAAAATGGTCAATCTTCAATCCATAAAAGAAACCTTCTTTGTCGAACACTTACTCCACACATTCATCATGTATCCATTATTCTTCCAGTCATTTATCTACTTAGCTGTTCATCCATACAACATTTAATGAGAACTATTAAAAAGAAAAAAATCCCCTTGATATTTGTTTGTTTGATTAAATTTATGATTTATGTGTGGTGTTACTTTTTGTGTGAGTTTCATCTTGTAGAAGACGAAGTTGAGTCAAATCAAGCAAACGTGATTGTAAGTGACTGTTCATCTCTATCACATGCTTTGTCATGTTAGTGATCCATAATCTATTCTCAACGTTGGTTTCCACTTTCAACTGTAAGGCTTCAGGCGTCCTTTCTACCTGCAGTGCACAAATAAAAAAAATAAAAAAGGGCATATAAGTAAATTTATTTCATTCTTCTTTAAAAAAAAAAAAAAAAAGGTAATGCATCATCGAGTGAGAGTGCACCTCCAAATCAATAATCTGTTGTTTCAGTAAGTTGGCACTTTGATACTGATGAGTAATTTGTTGTTGTGTAGAAGAAGATGGTAGAAGAAGGGTAATACTTGAATTAGATGGATCATCTTGGTGAGGATATTTTTGGAGTAATGATACGGGCAAATTAGTAAATTTGCGTTGATGATGTGGCAAGGGGAGGAGTGAGGAGTGTGGGATCACAACCATATTAGTAATAAAACCTGCATGTATGGATAATAATATCAAGAATGTCCTTTTTTTTTTTTAGGATTTGTAAATAAATTAACAAAATAAGGTTGTTATTTTTTTTTCTCCTAATTTATTGCACTACTCCCTGTACTAACTACTAACTACTCCTTGTCCCTACTTCCCCAGCATCCATAACCACCCATAATAGGCCATAGAAACTTAAATTATTATAGGTTACGTAAGAAATAATTCAGAAAGCAATAATGGAGTTGGGGCCTAGTTATTGAGCATCTCCAGCTACAGGAATCTATGAAATGTTGGTTTCTTGGATGGATTGAATTTGACAATTTCATTATGGGCAATATTGACAAATCACATAGCCAGGGGAAAATTATTTTTTGGGCCATCTTCAACACGAAGATGCATTTTGTGTAATGGAGAAAAACATTGTTGACTTGAAGACTATGAGAGGTCTTTGTGTAAATGGTATAACGTGTTACATAATCCTTAATTTATGGAGATGGTAACTGCAATCAACAAAGCACATGTTAGTTATAAACCTCCCTATAGGCAAGAAAACAAGAACAATTTTGCTTAATGAATGCCACGGAGACGTAAAAAAGATTAACTCCTATTAAAGAATAAAGATATGTGGTATTCACAAGATATTTCAATCACTTTTGATGGGTGGTCAAGCATCAAACACAAACCACTTATTAATGTCATGCGTTGGGCTGTACGCGAAGGATTTTTCTTGTATATAAAAAACAGGAATTCCAATAGCAAATTATTTGTTCAGAGCTACTGAAACACAACAATGAATAAGTAGGACAAGCAATGTCCTTCAAATCATGACCAACAATGTAGCAAACTAAAAGGCGGATGGCAAGGAAATTAAAAAGATACATAAACATAAACATATTTTTTGGTCTCCTTGTTGTGTTCATACATTGAACTTGATTTTCAAAGATCTTGTAAATGAGTTCTATTGGTTGACAGATACATTGAAGTGATTGTTAAATACTTTCTTAATGACAATCACGTCTTGACAATTTTTTTATAGATAACTCAAAGTTAGAGTTAATAAAAGTGGCAAAAACAACATTTGCATCTAATTACATTTTGTTGGAAAGGTTAATGGATTGTAGAGAGACTTTTTCTATAACCATTGTCTTTAATTATTGGATGGATTTAGTCGATCAAGGAGATGAAAACACTTAGATTTTTGGAACAACGGTTGTTGACACCATCAAAAGTGAAGAATTTTGGGAGGACGTTGAAAGCATTTTAGCTCTAACAAAATGAATTTTCTTGTTGATCAAATTTTGTGATCTCAACTTAAGAGGATCTTGTTAGCTAGCTTTGCTTTATTTTTGCATTTCTATGATACACATTATCTTGAGATGTTAGCACCCGATAGAATTACTAGAAAATCTTCTGGTTTAGACAAAGAAATGGTACTTGGTGTTAATTGCAAAAGCAATTTGCAACATTCCACATGAAAAAAGGTTTTATTTAATAACAACAGCTCAAATAGATGCATTGATCATGGACATGATCGATTGATGGTAAAGGTACGGTTTAGAAACTCTTTTACACTCATAGTCAGTGTGAAAAGAAATTGCTTAAATTGTAAAAGGGCATACAAATTGGTGTTTATCCACTCAAATATTTGACTATAATCACGCTTTTCTGAAACTTACAAAGCAGGCCCACAAAAAAAATAGGATATCGTTTTTCTTACTTTTCCGTTAACTGTATTATATACGTTTCATGTTTTGGATATGATATTTCCTACCAGGTTACATGGTACACGTTCCATGTACCAAAATCACATTCGATATGAACCTACTTTCTTCGTTCAAAAATTTAGAAATTCCCGATCCTCGTACTGGAACGTTCTGCATTCCATGTGAATATGGACCAAATAAAAGGTATGCACGATGATTGTCGATAGGGGAAGTTGCAAAAAAGTTGTCCCAACACACATGGGTTGACAAATTGGGCTATCTAACGACCTCATCATTTTTATGTGACTAATGAATTATGTTGCAAAACATTTTCTAGGAAAAATTGTTGTCACAATAACAAGAAAATTTTCCACAAAGAAAACATTTCAATTTTCATGGTATATCCGAAAAGGTAAGCATAGAAATTTCATTGATCACAGAACTAATTTTCCTATTTTCTTCACCACTATAGCATGAACTTTCTTTAACTAAAATAAAGTAATAGTGGTTAGTTGATTACCTTTGTGATGATTAAATCTTCGAATGATCACACCCTCAATAACATTCCACAAGCAAGCAGTACAATCCTCAGAAGCAGAAATAAGACCGGATTTACAAAAAGTCAATGCTGTAATAGATTCCCTACAATTCCAATCGCATCAATTTATACAACTTGTTCACAATTTATATAACATAACCAACAAGCATAAAAAGTAAACACATACTTATGTCCATTCAATTCCAATTTTTGATCCTCTGAATCAAAGGAAGCCTCCTTCATCAATCCAACATCAAATGGGGTCATAAATATCCTTCCATCTGCACTTCCAGAAAACAGAAATCTCTCCAAAGGGTCAAGAACCATTGCAGTTATCGGTTGTGGAAAAGACCATGTTTGCAAAAGTGTCCCTTTTACAAGCTCCCATACCTATTTATAAAAGACATAATTTGGAAACATTTAATATATCAAAGATGCACACAAATACCATTATATTATAACATCAAACATGAAAATGAATTCACCTTGCATGTGCCATCAAGTGAGCTTGATACAAAAACTGATTGAGAGACAGCTGAAGATGGTAAGAGTCCAGTTATGAAGGATTTATGCTCAGTTGAAACACTTAGTGATAAATCAGAGGATTCTAAGTTTTTATCATCTAGTAAACTGTCACGAAAATGAGACCACTTAGAATTTTGGTGACTGAATAAGCAAATTTTCAGATAGTTTGTTGTGCATATGTCATAAACCCTTAAATAAACCATAAATGTTGTTACCTTATCATAGGCCAGACAACTATCATTCCATCTTCGGATCCAGATATAAGTAGAGAAGCATCATTAGAAAAAGCCAAACAAGTTATTGGCGAATTATGTGCATGCCAAGTTTTTAGCAGTTTACCACTTATAACCTACGAAAAAATTCAATCAAGAAGATGACATTTGGGGGAAAAATAACCTTGATGTAGTGTAGTAGAAGATTATATACCTCCCAAATGTAGAGATTTCCAGAAATGGCTCCACCTGCCACATATATACCATCTTTTGTGCTTGAAATCGGCCCAATGGCTTCAATGGTATAGCTCCGTAATGATGAACGTGGCTGAAATCATTTAGTACGAATCAACGTAAGAATTTGGTAAAAACCCCAAATTGAAGACCTTAATACCAATAGGAATTATATGCAGCATTGGAATTTTTGGATAATACCCTAAATCGAATTAATCGTAGGAGTAGTACCTTAGAGAAAGGCCAGGTGAAGATGACGCCGCCAGCGACGGAGCCGGGGAGGTGAATTTGAGAGGCAACCAAGTACTGATTTCTCAAACAAGTGAGCCCATGGAAGTGTGAAGCACATGTGGGTATGTGAAGAAGATAATCCCCTGTTTCTATGTCCCAAATCGTGAGTCCTACCGTTAAATTCTTGTCTCCGCAAACCACCAATGCTTCCTTCATGCCTCTCTCTTTCTACTCCCGGTGAAACCCAGTTTGAATGCTGTGATTTGGAAGGAGAATTTAGGGGTTTTAGTGATCGGGTAGCAGGGATATCTGTGGTTACGGCGATCCCCTGTCCGTTTGCGTGCCAATGGTGGTACGCCATGTCAGGTGTGAAAACTGTAAAGGTGGAATGCGTGAAAGCTGGAGAAGGATTACGAGTATCCCACACAAATTTTGATGTTTAGTGCATACGATTTTGACAATCTATGCAATCGACGATGGTGACAATCACATTCTAAATCACGTAACGCTTCTACACTAGTCATATTTTTAGGGGTTTTGTCTTCAAAAACTTACGAACTTTTGCTTTAGGTTTTATGTTTTAAATGGCCCATAATTTTATTTTTTTGTGTCTCATATCAAAATAACCTATTAAGCAAGTCATTATATCAAGTTTGTAGGTAAATGATTTTGCTTAATGGTTGTTTGGAAGTCTTAATTTTTTAATTAAGACATACTTTAATTTTTTAGATTCAAAACGTGTGATGATCTCTTAACTTTTGTCTTTCATCCTATATGAATAAAAACAATGAGCGTGATCTGAAAATACTCTAATTTTTCAGCAAATCTTTTTCCCTCTTCTTTTTATATTTTGTACGACCATCTCCTTTTTCCCTCTAACAGTCCTACTGCCCACTTCGAAAAATTCAGATTATGTCAAATAGCCCGTAAATCTTGTTCAGTGTTCACATGGACTCCACTTGGAATTATTGAGATGATGTGGCCTAATTCCAGTACTTTTTTCTCCATTTTCAATGGAATGTTCTTTCTTCCCTCCCTCGTCTTCCTTCTATTATTTTGACAACCACCCTACATCCACCTAACAACCAACCATATTAACAAATTCAACTTCACATTGACATCTATGTGTTGTTCCACCTGAAATTCTAAACATCTCTCTTTACTAATATCAGGAACAAGATGAATAAAGTGGAAGTAGGTATTTTATGTTTTCTGATTGACAATAAGATCAAACACATAGAGTGTAGGTTTTTATTCTACCAAAATATGAAAACCCATTTACATATACACACTTAATTAAACATGAAGCTAAAAAAAGCATACATCACGAGGATAAAGTTCCAATAATCTAGTGGTAGCCACAAATGGCTTTTTGTCTATTTAACCATATACATATAAATAATTAGGCATTCATAACCCAAAAATATATATATATATATATATATAACTTAGAATCGAAACATACTAAAGAATAAACGATGTTTCCTTTGACAGCGCAATACAACATTAGAAACAAGAGAATGCACATAATCATCGTGTGATTAAGACATATACATAAAGAAGAATATAGCATATTCAAACGGTGAAAAGCTCGGTTTTGGTATAAGTCAATTTTTTGCAAAGGTTAAATCTATTTTGACTTTTGGGATTTTGCCTCTCCTCGCATTGGTGGTTGTGGCGCCACGAGGTGGTGTTGCCACATCACCACATCGTGATGGTCATTTAATGGTCGCGACGCGGTGCCGTAATGCACACAAACCCCTAGGTTTTGGGCCTTAAGCCCTATTTAAAGGATGTAAGGCTAGGTTTTCGTCCACCTTCGGCCTCCATCATTACAGAGAACCCCTACCTAAACCCTAATCTCATCTCTTTTTCATTTTACGCCATTCTTGAGTTGTTTCACACCGTGAAGGAAAGAAGAAATCCTAAGGGTGGGTGAGGGGGCAAGGAAGCATCAAAGCAAGTTCATCACAACCTTTTGGAGCATTCTCTGGACTCTTATAAGTCTTCAAAGCAAGATCTTTGTTAGAGGTCTTAAATGAGGTCTTAATGGGAAGAATGAAGTGTTGGGGTCACTCATGACATACAAGGGCATAAAGTTGCCAACTTTATGCCCTGGGACATCTTAATGGACTCAGATCTAAAGTTTGACGTTGAAATCCCAAGTATTAAGCACTTAATGGTCGCCTGATGCATGTCCTGCTTGTACGCTGTGCGTAAGATTGTGTACGGAGCGCGTACAACTTTAGGGTCTGGTACGTTGAGCATACTGGAGTGGTACACAGGGCGTACACACTCCAGTTGGGTTTGGGCTTTATGTGGGCTTGCAAGCTTATTGGGCTTCATTCAATTTTGGGCCTGGTCCCATTTAGAGTTTTGGGCTGATATTCCGATTTGGGCCATAGTTATTTTGGGTTGGGCCGTATTGGGCCATGTGGTCTATTAGTGGCTTTTATCTTGGATTTTAGGCCCATTAGCAAAGGGAAGACTTTTGGGCTACTATGGAAGGACTTAGGCTTAGGTTTTAGACTCTTTGATTAGGTTGTGTTATAATCCTAACTTAGGGTTAATTGTATCATTGTTCAGTGTGTGGTTTCAGACTGTTAGGCGAGCAGCTTTTGTGTTCAGCAAACTGAGGTGAGTCTTCTCACTACACTCATGGATCGAAGGCACCAAGGTCGGTCCATTATTTGATATGATATGATTAGTAATGGATTATGTAATTGTTTGCTATTTAATCTATATATGGACTTATGTGAAGACTATGCTGGGAGGAGTCCATGGCACTTGACAAGACCATGAGAGGAGCTCATGGCTCGGGTGTGGCATCCCCATTTTCACGGCCAGAAAATACCGATTTTATTTATGCTTTGTTTAAAAATCAGAGTAACATTTTAAATAAAAGTGTTGCGGAATTTGTTCCCAAAATAAAATATGATAAAGATTTATCAAAGCATTTCCGTAGAAATGTATTTCATTAAAAACCTCGGGATGTCATGTTCGATACAGATCAAAAGCATAAACAGTACAATATAAGCCTTACTACATTTATTCATATCTACAGGCCTATATCCGTAATCTCTCATCCCAAACATCATATCTATGCTCGTGCACCACTACATGTAATACAAGAAACTGAGTGGGTCAGGCTTGGGAGCCTGGTGAGCACATAGGGTTTTCAACCCACAATAAATAAGTTTATTAATTTCATCAAGCAACAATAACCCGATTACCCGTTCCCGTTATCCTCATTTTACGTCCCTAAACACCTATCATAAGGGACCTAGCCTAAGGATCATCATCGGGATGGACACTACTGCTAAGGGGGTTCCTCAGCAATAAATGTCCTAAAGGCAACCATGAGGGGGATGGAGTACACCGGTGAACACATCGTTTACAAACACCTACAGGTTGCAAGCCTGCTAGCGTTCCACTGGACTGTCTAGAAGAGTCTGTGGTTGTCATCCATACTCCGCTAGATGGCAGAATCAACAACAACAACATCGAGGCCTCTCATCATTTTATCACACATCGTCTATTACATCTACGCATGTTTTACCCCAACATTTTGTAGATATATAAAATACATATACACTTTAAATCATTTAAAACATGTATAAAAATCTTTCATCAGCATAGACAGCAAGTATTCAGACAATATGCACACATATCACGTAATTTATATTAAATACTTCATATCTATGTGTAAGATGAAAGTCACTATGCACTCACCTGAAAAGATGGTGACTCTGCACTCGGATAGCTCTTCGTTACTCTTAAAACAATTTTCCTCGACAAAACAGCGGGTTTTTATTAAAAATCGGGCTTCGCTGGAGCAGCGTTTCCGAGCCGAAAGCTTTTCTTCTCGGAGCCGTCCGGTGCTCCGGGGCTTCCTTCTTGTGCTAGGGAGGTTCCCTAGACTTGGGATGGGTTTAGGGAGGCTAGAGAGAAGTTAGAGAGAGAAAGAAAGGCTTATGGTGTGAAGAAAATATGAAGGATTCATCCTTTATATATAGGAGTTTTATAGTAAAGTAGCCCCTAAGTTTCGTTCGTATCTTCCGAGTACGGGCTCCGTTTTCTACGTTTTTATATCCACGCGTTGGTATTTACGAGTACTACAACTTTCATTTAGACCCCGTCGGCTAATTCTCCTTCTATCTAGAATTTACAAAAATTGTATTGTATTTATCGCGCTCGAAGAGTAGCGAATAAGCTTCGTCCATATCTTTCGCATACGAGCTTCGTTTCTGACGTTATTTATATCCATGCGTTGGTATTTACGAGTACTACAACTTTCATTTAGACCCCGTTGGCTAATTCTCATTCTATCTCGGATTTACAAAACTGTATCGAATTCGCCGCGCTCGAAAAGTAGAGACTAAGCTTCGTCCATATCTTTCGCATACGAGCTCCGTTTTTGACGTTCTTTATATTCACGCGTTGGTATTTACGAGTACTACAACTTTCATTTAGACCCCGTTTTCGTCTGTCTTTTTGTCGTTGAGTTCCTATTAATGAGATCTTCAACTCTCATTTAGGTCGCGTAAGCCAAAAACCGCTCGAACTAAAATTCGAGTTTCGGGTCGTGCACTGCTATGCCAAATCTTAGAAAAATCATAACTTCCTCATACGAAGTCAGATTTGGGCGTTCTTTATATCCCCAGAATCCTTGTTTCGACCATCACCACTTTATGTAAAGATATCGGGTTTATCTCACACTTTAATTTTGACGCTTATTTTTATTCTTTATTAATTATATCTTTATAATTAAGTATAAAGCACATAAATTCACATAATTCACATAATACTCAAATAATTCATTTTTATTACTTCAAAAAGAGTTACAATAGTTAACCTAGACTATTACATCATCTATTAATGCTTAGCCCCGAAACTCGGGCGTTACAATTCTCTCCCCCTTAGGATGATTCCGTCCCGGAATCATGCATCAGCAAACAGATGTGGATAGCGACTCATCATGTCACTCTCTGTTTCCCAAGTGAGATTCGGCCCATTCGAATGTTTCCATCGGACTAGCACTAAGTTGACCATCTTGCGTCGTAACTTCTTAGTCTTACGGTCAACGATTGCATCGGGCTCTTCGATTAGCCTCTTATTTTCATCCATCCTTAACTCTGAGATTGGAATTATGTCGGGAACTTCTCCCGTGAACTTCCTCAAATAACACACATGAAAGGTGTTATGAATACCATCTAGTTCTTCGGGTAATTCGAGCTTGTAAGCTTGGTTCCCAACCCTCTGAAGAACTTTGAACGGTCCAATAAACCTTGGACTCAGCTTCCCTCGTTTTACGAATCTTATAAGTCCCTTCCACGGTGAGACTTTAAGCAAAACGGAATCTCCAACTTCAAAAGTCATCGGTCGTCTTTTCTTGTCAGCATAGCTCTTCTGACGATCCTGAGCTGCTAACATCCTTTCCCTGATCACCTTTAACTTCTCAGCATTATCATGGACTATCTCGGGGCCCATAAACTGCTTTTCTCCAGCCTCAAGCCAACAAGACGGCGTACGACACTT